AATTAAAAAGTGATTGAGAACTGTTATATACTAAATATGAAGACATGTTAGGAGTGTGTCAATCAGTTTTGCTTATATTTTTGTTTTATGATATATGATAAAATATTAATGTCTCCATAGGTCTGCAAAAGCTCTTTCAACCGGTATAAAAGAGATAAGAAAATAATCATGACACAGTTTACTTGGCAGAATTTTTTTCTGTCTTAATTAGATAAAATAATGGTATGTCTTATAAGAATGGCATCTTAGGTTTGATGAAATACCTTATATCTTTGCATACTTGGGAAGGATATTTCTGTAGAATTGAGTCTTAAGAATGGAATTGCTAAAATAAAGGACCTCATACATTCCTCTCCATAAAGATTGTGCAGGCATACCTCAGGGATATCGTGGATTTGTTCCAGACTACCACAATAAAGTGAATATTGCAATAAATTGTCCCACGAATTCTTTGGGTTCCCCATGCATCTAAAAGTTATGTTTACACTATACTGTAGTCTAAGCGTGTAATAGCATTACATCTAAAAAAAACCAAAGTACATACCTTAATGATATACTTCATTGCTAAAAAATGCTCACCATCATCTGTGCCTTCAGCAAGTCATAATCTTTTTGCTGGTGGAGGGTCTTACCTTCATTTGTAAAAATGCAATATCTACAGAGTGCAATAAAGGGAAGTGTAATAAAGTGAAACATGCCTGTATCAGTTTACACACGCATCTGTTTCTCAGTACCTTCGCTAACATTGGATATTATAATTTTTTAATGTTTGAGAGCCTAGTAAGTGAAAAGCATATTTTATTATTTTATTTTATTTTATTTTGTACCTCTTTGATTATTTAATGACCTATTACAGTTCTCCTATGAATTACTTTTTCTATTTATTGATCTTTTTTGTATATTGGTGGTGGTACTTATCTTCATGATAAATACTCTTTAGATACCAGGGCCATCAACTTTTCAAATATGTTACAATTTTTTCAATTTGTTCTTTGTCTTTTATATTTGGATCGTTACATCTTTTGCCATAAAGAAAGATTTCATTTATTCAAATTAAAAAATATTTTCTAGTTCTCTTATAATTTCTTTCCTAGCCAAGATTATAGAACTAATTTTCTGTGTTCTTTTCTAGTGTGTTTTTTAATTAAAAAATGTACTACAGCTGGAATCATTTTTGCCTGTTAGGTCAAGGTGGGGATCTAATATGTGTTTATCTCTATGGATAACTGTTTCCCAACTCAATTTATTTTCCACTGATTTGAAATTCCACTGTTATATAAATTCCCATGCATAGATGGAGTTATTTCTGGGTTCTACTCTATTCCATTGATCTATTTGTTTATTCCTTTGCTAGTAACAAACTTTAATTACTCTAGCATCCTCAGTGGGAGCGATATCACTCACAAAAGGGTAAAAATTCATTCTTGAGAGCCAAAAACTATTATTCTTTTTATATATGAAGCATAAACACATGGTACATAAGAAACACAATTTAAAACATTTTTCCCCCTAATCTCTCACCCTCTATAAAATTTTAATACCACAGATATGCTGTTTAAAAAGACTCCTTGTGGGGCTATCATGAAAAAAAAGGTTGTGGAACACTGTTACAGCTTTATAATAGGCATCGGTACCTGATTATGTCCTCTTTCAATAATTTTGTTTCAATTTTTTCCCTCGCTATTCTTATTTATTTTCCCAAAGGAATTTAGCAGTAATTGCTGTCTCTCAATTGAGTGTGCCAAGCTGATTCCTGCATCTGGGACTTTGACCTTGGAGCCCTCTGTCTGACCCCTCTTCTACTCTTGGTGGCTCACTGACTCGTGTCCTTCAGGTCTCAGCTCACATATCACCTCCACAGAGGGCCTTCCTTGGCCATCCTTACTGTCCTTGTACGATGCTTTTCTTCATAGTCCTTACCAGTGTACAAGATTATATTTTTAGTTTTTTGTTTTTGTTCCTTTTCTGCCTTTCTCACTAGCATGAATTCCATTAGGTGCGGGGACTTTGTTTGCTTACCACTTTATTTTTAGCCCCTAAAGCATCCTGGCACATGGTAAGAGCTTTCTCAATATTCATCAGATGGATGTGTAAACTTATTATGTTCCAAGAGGGTCCATTGGAATTGTCATTGGAAGTACATTCCATTTATAGATTAACTGGAGAATTGGCATCTTTTCCCTTTTCAGTCTTTCCATTCAAGGATGTGGCATCTCTCTCTTTGTTTTTTTTTGTTTTTTTTGTTTTTTTTTATGTCCTTCAGAATATTTTAAAAAAGTCGTCATGTAAGTCTTGGACATTTCTAGTTAGATTTATTTCTAGGTATTTGAAGTTTGTTCATGGTCTCTTTTTTTTCTTCAATTATATTTTATTTTATTTTTTAATTAATTAATTTTTATGGTGACATTGGTTAATGAAATCCAATAGGTTTCAGCTGTACACTTTAACAGTAAGGCATATATATGTTTACAATGTGTGTTCCTCTCCCATAGTCAGATTTCTTTCTGTCACCACATATTTGACCCTCTTTACCCCATCTACCTCCCCTCCCCCGTCTTCCCCACTACCCTCTGGTAACCACTAGTCTATTGTCCATCATCATGAGTCTCTGTTTGTTTGTTCTGTCCATTTGTTGCTTTTCGGTTTAGATCCCACATATAAGTGCTATCATGTGATTTTCAACTTTTTCTGTCTGGCTTATTTCATTTAGCATGATTATCTCGAGGTCCATCCATGCTGTCACAAAGCTCAGCGAAACAGCTCTTTTCTTGCAAATAAGAATCTTTTAATTTTTAATTGTCTTTTAATTGTCATTTTTGTTTCCCGTTGCTGGTATGACAAATTACTGCAAATTTCATAGCTTAAAACAACACAAATTTACTCTCTTATAGTTATGGAGGTCAGAAGTTTGACTCGGTTTCACTGGGTTAAAATCAAAGTGTCAGCAGGTCTGTGTTTATTCTGGGGGGCTCGAGGGGAGAATCCATTTCTTTGTCTTTTCCTGCCTACACTCCTTGGCTCGTGGTCCTATTCTTCATCTTTAAAGCTCTGCTTTCATCCTTAAATCTCTCTCTTATCTCCCTCTTATGAGGACCCTTGCTACTACATTGGGCCCATCTGGATAATCTTCCTATTTAATCACATTTGTAAAGTCCTTCTGCCATATAAGGTAACATGGTCACAGATTTCAGAGACTAGAGTGTGGACATCTTTGGGGAAGGGTACATTATTCAGCCTATCATACTTGTTCTTGCAGGTATATAGAAAATTATTAGTTTTTCTATGTTCTTGTATTTGAGTGTACTTTGCCAAACTCCTATTTGTATTTGCTTTTCTATTTTCAAACAATTTCATGTTTGTTTTTCTGTTGATTCTTTTGGATTTACCGGCAGTTACATCATTTGTTCCCTTCTTCCTGGTATTTATAGGTTATTTTTTCTTGCTTCTTTCAGTATTACCTAGAATCTTCTGACTAATGCTAAATAATAGCTATGAGACTGCGTATCCTTGTATTGTTCTTGACTTTACTAGAAATTGCTTCATTGTTTTACGGAGTATGTTTTATGAGTATGGTGGTTTCTAATAAACCTCTTTTAAATTAAGGAATTTCTATCAAATTATATCCTTTCTTTACTAAGATTTTTAGTCAGGAATATGTAATTAATGTATTAATTATTATTATAATAAAAGTAACCATACTTTTTTTTCTTTTTAATCTACTACTAGCTTTCTCAATAATGATCATCTCTGTGTTCCTGGAACAAATCATAGTGGTCAGAGTGTGTCGCTCTTTGAATGTACTACTGACTTCTATTTGCTAGTATTTTGTTTCGTATTTTTGTATTGATACATGTGTTTGGCATAGTGTATTTAGTGATTGGTTGTGCCATCCTTGTACATTTTAGGCCTGCGTATTAGGTAGTCGTATTGGATGAGCTGGAAAGATTTCCACCTTTTCTATGGTCTGGAACTGTTTAAATAGTATTGAAGTTATTTGATTTTTGTGAGTTTCATCAGTGTGACGTTCCTTGGACCACTACTACTTATCTCTAAAACTATCATCCATACCCAGTAGTGAAGGTGCGTTATCCTGAACCATCTACACTTTCTTACCTATTCTGTCTTACATCATTTGGAGTATAGTATGTGACCTGTGGAACAGGTTTTCACTAGGCCAAGCTGCCCAATCCATAAAGAGCATGTCATGTCAACCAATGCGGCTTCGTTTGTAGGAACCTGTCAGGCCAAGGGCTTACACAATAAAGGCTTGGCTCCAACGAGACTTCCTGTGTGTGTGTGTGTGTGTGTGTGTGTGTGTGTGTGTGCGCGTGCGCGCGCGCACATGCACGCGCGCGCTTTGGGAGTTGTCTTTATAACTTATTAATCATCATAGTGTTCCAGTGAAACTTCTTAGCAAGTCTGCTCTATTATTTCCAAGTTAGGGAAATTATACCATACCAGATCTGAACTAACTTTTGAACTGATTACCATGAAATTAAGCAGAGGCCAGCAAGTGCTTTGATCACAAGAGAAGAGGAAGCACAAACCCAGAGGGACCCCTCCTCCTTTGCATCATGAAAAGCCTGACTGCTTGAGATAGGCTTTTTCAGTCCCTCAAGGAACGATTCTCAATTCTGTGCTGAAATGCTGCTTTCAGCTCAGAATTTCAAACCGATGCTTATTTGTATAAACGAGGTTACCCAAGGCCAGGACTGTGAGTTGCAGTTTTAACTTAGTAAACCAAGGGAGTTTGCAGTGAATAGATTTAAATAATTTTTAAGAGGGATCCTCTGATTCGGTATCTTGTAATCTTAAATCTTTCATCAAGACTGAGTTTACATAAATGTAAAAGTGGTGTTTCTTGGGCTGCTACCGGTAAGTTCTAAATTAAAATACTATTGCAGTCATCCTATGTAAATGCTTATCCTCGGGAAATGTTTTAATTAGGTCATATTTTTGTACAGAGTATCAATTGATTTCTCATTCTTCTCTTCTTACAGAAAAACAGATTATTGGTAACATTTCAATATTTAATGAAACCTGCTTGAGATGGAGAAGAACGAAGACAGCTGATATAGAGGAGATGTATTTAGTAAGTTTCTGAAAGTTACTCTATTTATGGTGCTTGTCTTGTGTGGGAGGTTTAAAAAATAACAAACCTAAAAATCTACTTATATAGCGGCCATTATCAATAGAAGACTTACAGTAACAGTTGTAATCAGAAGCAAGAAAACAGGCACATCTGCTGCATATTTGAAGGCAGAGACCTTGGGGGTTGATGAGACGCCAGGAAAGTTTTTTGTGCACACAGCCTGGTGCAGAGCTGATATTCAGGCAGGATCCATGGAGGAATCCAATGGCTTTTGCGCGTCTGTGTCTCTCCACAACCAGAGACCCTGAGCAGGCTCTGAATGCGTTGCCTGGAGAGTCCAGGAGAACTTTTGAAGTTATACGTGGTTGTCAGTAAGAAAGGGAAAGACCAGGGGATGAGCTGCTACCAGAGGAATTAAGTAGGAAGAAGTGTGTGTCTATTGTATGTATGAGAACAAGAAAGAGGAAGTTGCCAGTGTTGAGCCCTTGGCTTTTAGTACATTTTTATTTTAAAATGTATTTATTATACTGATAACATTGTAACTATGATACATATGGTATTACATCTCTAATATGTGCTCACTGTTGTTATTTCACTTTTTGAAGGAAATTTAAAGTCAAGAACAAGAGAGGCCATGAGAAAGGTAAAGATCTAGGCATTCAGAGCCTTTTAAGCCAGAGAGTCACCTAGTGCACTTTTCTGTGTTTTAGTTCCACATTCGGGGCCTGAGATGGTATCAGAAGGAATTTGCCCAGGAAATGATCTTTAATATCACCACCAGCAGCCAGGCATCTGAGATGTGCTTGGACCTGCGTCCGGGCACCAACTACAATGTCAGCGTCCAGGCTTTGTCTTCGGCACTTCCTGTGGTCATCTCCCTGACAACCCAGATAACAGGTAAATCTTGAATGACAGCATTTGAATGAACAAAGCCAGCAGGGCCCTGTAGGTAGGCCTGGGTAAAGAGGAACACTACTCTTTCTTATCACTATGTAATAAACTGTAAGAGAGAGAGGACGAAGGACGTGGAATTGGAGAGAAATGCTAAGGGGCCTGCCGCTGTTTTATTATGACTTATTTCTTACAAAGATATTTGAAACAAAATGTTAACATTGATTAAACCTGAGTAATGCATACGTGAGTGTTAGTTGTATTCCTTCTGGACATTTGAAATATTTAAAATGTTTCATACTTAAAAAGAATTTTTCCTATTACTGTTTCTTTCTCAGCATCATATTTAACTGTGATCTTGTTGCAAGTGCCTTAAGAATACTTTTCTCTCCGAGAAACAATGACTGGCAGTCCCAGACTCGTCCCCAACAAATTCACTTTCCGCTTATTTTCTTGTCTCTCCTCAAATCTGTGATACCCCTCCGCGCACACACTCTGAGCCAATACTCAGAACATTAGCTTCCTGTTTCTTATTTCACTGAGAAATTAGAAGGAATCAGCAGAGGACTTGCCATTCCCAAATCTCCCACTGCTGCCTGAATGCAGAACTGTACATTTTGTCTTCTCTCTTGTTCCCCCATTCCTAAGGCGACACCCCACCCCCACCCAACTGGTGCGCTGGACCCCACTCTTAAACATATCTCAGTCACTTCCCCACAATGTAGAATTAGTCCCCACACTGTACGAGCCTGTCATAATCTCCTTTTTTAATGCAAACAAAACAAAAAAGTGAACATACTTCCTTTGATCCCGTATTCTCTGCGACTGCTTTGTCTTCTGTCAGCCACCCTTTTACAGCAAGACTCCTTGAAAGCGATGTCTGCCGCATGGGCTCCACATCCCTACCTCCCCTTCTCCCTTTGCATCACTCCAATCTGGAAGCATTTGCCTTCGCTGCTTTACTGAAAGGGTCTCCGTCTTGCAAAATCCACTGGCCAGTTTCCTTCTTAATCCGATTTTTCTCTACAGCATTTGACATTCCCTCCTTCTTAGGATGCCTCTTCTCTTGGCTTTTGGTTCCTCCTACCTTGTTGGCTGTTCCTTCTCAATCTTCTTTGCTGGCTTCATCTACTTTTATTGGTGCACTTCCCGCCCCCTACGATCCCCCTTCCTTTTTCTTCATTATCTACCCTTTCTGTCTAGCCGATCTCTACTGATCTCGTGGTTATAAATATTACCTGTATGCTGAGGATTCTCAAATATGTCTCCTAGTCCCTATTTCTCCTTTCCGTTCCACCCTTGTACATCCACCCCGCTCTTAAACATATCTCGTTGAATATCTAAAAGGCAAATCCAACAGAATTTTGGTTTCTTACCTCTTCCCTCACCCCCAGATCCATTTCCCAGCCAGGATTCTCTATCTCAGTTATTGGCATTCTTGCCAAATGCTCAGGCCAAGAGAGTCACGATTGATTTCATCCCTCCCACCGATTTCTAATCCATCGACAAGCCTCATTGGCTTGTTTCTGAAATGTATTTTGAATTCAACCACTTCTCCACATTTTTGCTTTCACGATTCCAGCAACCTAATGCAGGCCGGCAACCTCGGCTTGGACTCCTGCAGTAGCTTTCTAACTGGTTTCTCGGCTTTTACAGTTGCCTCTCAAGCCTCCCCGCCCCCAGTCTTAATCTCCATCACAGTAAGAGCCATCTTTTAAAAATGCACATGAGAACATGTCATCCCCAGCTCCAAACTATCCAGTGAGTTTCTGTTAGTGTTAGGATAGGTCTGCTTACCCTGGTCGTGGTTCCACAGTGTAGCGATTAGCACATCTGCTTTACTCGCAGAAGGTCCTGGGTCCATGCCCCAGTGGAGCCACACGGCCATGCCACCCTGAACAAGCCCGATGTCTGATCTCAGAAGCTAAGCAGGGTCAGGCCTGGTTAGTACTTGGATGGGAGACCACCTAGGAAGACCAGATGCTGTAGGCATAAATAATAATTAAAAAAAAAAAGTCTGCTTACTCTTCCTGGACACTCTCTCCACATACTTCTTTACATTATAATCATTCAAGTCCCTGCTAAAATATCACCACCTTAGAGAGGCTCTCGTGCCCATCTTTTCGTAAATAACCTTCCCATATCCACCTCATCACTCTTTATCCACTTACTCTGCTTGAACTGCTTCATAGAACATATTTCCAGAAATTATATTTTTAAATTTACTTGTTTATTTTCTTCCTACTAAAATAGGAGCTCTTTAAAGGCAGAGATTTTTGTCTGTGTGTTCTCCCTTTATCCCCAACATGTAAGGGCAGTGCTGGCACATAGCACGACAAAGAAATGTTTTTGTAGTGAATGAATATGAGGGCCAACCCAGAAATGGCCACTGAGTGGTATTGGTCTTGAGTAGGTGCCTGGTTAGTTAAGAAAGGCTTTAGACCAAAAAGAATTTACCCCATTTGGAGCTGGAAAGGCAAGTAATGTTCATTCAATTTGGGCATTCCTTTCCGTGTGACTTATTAAAATGAATAGTTATTCAGTCTCCTATTCTTTGGTCCTTGTCATGTTTGGATGGTTTGCATTACTGATTTAAGTGAGCATTTCATACTTTTTGAGTTGCGGGGAGGGAGTTTCATCTCGATGAGACACTTATTTCTATTTTGTTTTATAATAAAGGCTGAATATAGCCCTGGTAGCTAGCTCAAGCATCCTGTCTGTGTGTATAGCCATCAGGGGGCACTGTTGAGCTGTTTAAGTTCATTGCGTCCGTGACTGCATGTTTTCTAACTCTACCTTACTTTAAAGAATTTGCAAGTTTTAAAAAGTGTGAAAATTCAAGTTAAGATCTTATGAAAGGGTTAAAAAGAAAAAAAAAACCCTCAAAGAACCCTCCTTTTTATAAAAGGGGGAAAAAAGAGAACCTGATATGTCAATGTGAAGAGGTACACCTGGTTGCCTATGATTTATTTTAGTAAGACCGTGAACTTTCGAATTTACCAGAAATGT